TTTTCAAAATATCTTCTTTTGGGTTTCAAAAAGGAAAATGATACAAGTTTGTAGTAAATAATGACAGCATTTTGTTTTGTTTTGGGTGAACCACCCCTTTTTTAATACAGGATTTCTTTGCTCACATACTTTGTGGTCGTGTCTGCAGTGTGAGGGAAAGCTGGTTTGTTCACACGAGTGGTTGATTAGTTCAGTAAGATGATTGGCACTTTGAAGTAGCTGGCGCACTTGGTTCACCACACCCATGTTTAGCAGCAGAATCTCTCGCTGGTGAAGTTCACTGACTCTCTCTGCCTCCTCTTCCTCTATTAGGTCAAGAGCAACAGGTGTCTCTCCCCTCAAGGTGGTCTGCTCTAGCATAGCTGGCAGCTAAAGAAACAGATCCCACCACATGGCATTCATTAGTTATTCATGAGTTCAAATATAGACACCAGGGTCCCTCTAGTGGTAGGTCAAAGGAACTGAATGTTGCAATACACAATGCAAACAATTATTATAAGCGCATATATAAATGCAACATTAAAGAGAATGACTCACTGAATTTGGGTTTTGGTGCTGGGGCTGAATTCTTCTTGGTTTTGCTCTTTCTCCTGCAGATTCACCTTGAAGATCCTGCTTACGTGATCCCTTCTTTTCCCGTTCTTTCTGCTCCTGCTTCAGACGCAACTCCTGGAGCTGCTGCCTACAGATACACACATTTTGAATAAATTTTTTTCTTCTGCTGTTGTTTGAAATTAGCTTGATGTATCTCTGCAAAACATCAAGCAATATTTGCACACCTGGCACACTCCTCCCTGGCTTTGGAGGCTGCAGTCTCCTGGAAGAGAGAGCTGCTGTGTTGAAAATACTTTTCATATTTCTCCCCTCCTTCCCGAGGGAAGATCCGCCGGAATCCACCCATATGTTTTGCTTCATATTTCTCCATCTGCACCACACTAGCAGCCTGTGACTGACGAAGCTCCTCATTCCTTGTGATGCGAAACACACATGGAAGTTTATGTAAGATGTATGTTAGTGCACAGTCATTATAGAAATAGTAAGGAAGCCCATTTCTGCCATGAAAATATAATTATATCACTTTTTTGTTTTTTTTTCATTTTTAAGCTTATACCTCAATTTTATGTTAACATCTCACAGTGTAGATGTTTTTTCTCAGAATTGAGGGTTTATAGATATAAACAATTATATAAGCAATTTGGACATTTTCTTGGAATTCTGAATTTACACCTCACTATTCTGTCCCAAAACTTTTCTTGAATGAATTATGCATTTAGTGATACAGACAGATCCTTTCATACATGAAATGAGGCACCCCTTTAAAGACATGTGAACTCAAACTTCAGAAGAAAAAAGTATTGGGAGAAGATAACTCAATATTCTGAGAAAAACATCAGAATTACGAGATATAAACTTGAAATTAAGAAAAAAAATTTGAATTGCGAGATCCATCCATTCTCCAAATTCCCTATAAGGTTGGATTACGAGATGTTAAGTTTCAAAAAAAAAATGTAAGTTACAAACTCTGAATTGTGAGAAATAAGTTCAGAATTGTGTTATAAACTAGTAATTCTGTTTAATGACATGATTCCGTGGTGGAAATGAGCTTTCATAAACTAGTGCAGCTGTGGTTTTTGTGGTACCTGGCCTCTCTAGAGCGGTTCTGCTGGAGTCTCTCCTTTACCCGGCGCTTCTCCTCCTCTGTGATCTTCCTGCGGTCACAGGCCCCCAGGTTAATCAGCACCAAAGTGTCATAAAGCAGGCTGTCCTTCACCTCCCGGTCCAAACGGGAGTCTGTGGTGAAGCTGGGGGAGTGGTTGACCTAAACACACAGTTTAAAAGGTTGCATACAGCTAGAATGAAAGCAATTCACATAGCTTTTGTTACAACAAAAAGTCTCAAGAATGGTGATCTTAGCCTCGAATACAAAGCCTCAAAAGGAACCCATACCTCAAGAAGCCAAGGTTTAAGTCGACGGTCCAGTAACACATCAAATCCCAAGATCTCAAAGCAGGCACTTCCAGATGCATGATTGGGGAAGCAGGTGTGGTAGTTGTGTTTGAGAATGGGGTGGGCTGATATTAGTGTCTTAATGATGACATCCTCGATGTCTGTCCACATCTTCTCAGTATCACAGTTCATGGCTTCCATGTGCTTCTTGAAGCTGGAGAGTTTCCTATGAGGGCGTAATTGAAAAAAGTTTTTTCTGTGCAGTTTTAAAGAAAAATAGCTGAAAATCACAATCTGCGAGAACATATAGATTACCGTTTGCTGCCCGTATCTTCATCACGTACAAAGTTTTCACTATGCTTGTTGATGGCATAGTTAGTTAAGTGCATGCAAACATCCTCCTGCAGAGTTGCATAAAGAAATGTAAATGATCGAAATCAAATTAACCACTGGTTTGAAGTCAATATTTCATTACAAGCAATTTTCGTAGATTTTAAACAATATTAATTACTACTAAAACGCATGTTTGTACATTTACTGTTATTAGAGCCCCTCACCAAATTGATGCCAGTGGGCTCAGTATATTGAGTGGTGCAGAAACGGACTAGTCCCTCATTGTACATGAAGATACGGAAGGGGTCGCAGCTGGTCACTAACACATAAATGCGCAGGTCAAACTTGAACCCATCGATGATGAACGGCTGCACAAACAAAGATGAATTAAAATAAAATAAATTAATTAAAACATGTTATCTTTGATTATTTTTTATTTATTTTGAATCCACTTAGATAATAGAATTATGACACCAGTGCTTCCTGTCGTAGCTGTGACATGGCTTTATGAATATTGTGTTACCTTGGATATGTACACCTGGCAAATCATGTGTTCTCCTGGCCGAATATCTTTATTGGACTTGGTAAGATAGATACCACGACCTTGGCAACCTGAGTCTGGCTTGCAGATATACGTTTTGTGCTTTTTGGCTCTTGTGTAGGCTTGGAAGTCACTATAACTAAAGGACATTGAAAATTTTGAAATTGGACATTTTCAGCTCATTGAAAGATTGTAACTAGATTGTCTGATTGAACTTGAATCGACTCACTCTGCGGGGAGGCACCATGTGCGAGGAAAGATGTTGTACTCCTTCGGGAAGAGTTTCAGCATACGGTTCATATTGCGCGCGAGCAAGTCCTTCCTGCAGATTTCATTCATGCCAGGAAAATGGTTGATTTTCTGTGAGGGGGAAATTTAAGCATCTTGTTAACCAAGGGGGAGCGAGTGAAACTGAACAGGACACTAAACAAGAGAAGAATGACTTCTGGCAGCAAACACCTGGTAACGTTTCATATCCATGACCCTGTCTAGTGAGACAGAGCAGTCGGTCCAAAACAGGGTCCAGTCTTCTCCTTCTGCAGCCTCTCGTAGCGCGTATCTGTTAGCAGCACGACGCACTTAAAAAAACACAACATGCCATTGCATTAACAATGTTTAGTAAAAGCTTTAATATTACAGTTCATTTTGAGACTATATCCACAAACGTTTGGAGTTAAAATCACAGAGGCAAAACGTACCACTCTCATATTTGCAGTTGGTGAGATTTATCCACAGTCATCTGAAAAAGAGGAAGAGGACAAAGAGACAGACCTGTGCATTGTTCTAAAAGCTCTCTTGTTATCAAACAGTTTTTGTTTAATGGCAACAATTCTGTACCTTCTAATTCATCTAACTTTATCTAACCGATGATTTTTAGTGCATTTATTAATCTGCTTATTAATCCGACAACATTTTTACTTTATTAATGTAAATTAATTTATTAAACTGCTACATCTCATTGTTAATATATGTTTTTTCATTACACATTATTGATTAATTCATTAATTCATTCAGAGTCGCGGTCATAATACTTTTGCCAATGTTACTTTATACAACTTGAAATGTTAAAAATGTTGAAATGAACATTAACCTAAATTAATAAATGTTGTAAAAGTATTGTTCATTATTGTCTTAACTAATGTTAACGAATTGAGCCTTATTGTGACATTACAGAAATATTTTGTTATATTCATGACTGTTCAAAAGTTTTTTCCCCCCAGGAAATTAATCATTTTATTCACCAAGAATACATTAAATGGATCAAAAATGACAGTAAAGATTATGAATATATAATGAATTACTAAAGGATTTCAATTTCAGATAAATTAAATACAATTTTTAACTTTCTATTCATCAAAAAATCGTGAAAAAAATGTATCTCCGTTTTAAAAAAATAATAATAATATAAAAGTTTTCAACATTTACAATAATAAGAAATGCTTCTGGAGTACCAAATCAGCATATTAGAATGATTTCTGAAGGATTATGTGACTGTATTATTATAGTCTGTATGTGACTTAAAAAGGGGTCATATGATGCTATTTTAAAGATCATTATTTTGATTATTTTTCAAATACTGTACATTATTGTAGGTGTTGCACAAATTCGAACATCTGGGTTGTGCTGTTCTGTTGTAAATAAATCTTAACCAATGATTCCTAATTGCATCTACTTCCGGAAGGCCAAATAAAGTGCTTTTCCATTCGCACTGAAATACACAGCGTCTCCCTGACATGGCTGCATCAACACTACTGCTGTTTCTGAAACCACGCCTTCTTTCTTTGCGTGCACGTTTGGGCGGCATTATGCTAATATTTCTACATATTGACGTAGATATGTGGGGGCGTGTTAAAACGAGCCTTTTTAGGTAGGCGTGGTTGACTCTTAACTTTTATAAAGAATATCTCTTTGAATTTGAGACTTTAGTCTTTGCAACTTTACAGATCTTCTTTATGCACCAAGAGCTTGTAACACTCCAAAAAGAAAGGAAAACTTGAAATCGCATCATATGACCCCTTTAATATTCCACAGTATTACTATTTGTACTGTATTTCTGATCAAATAAATGCAACCTCGATGAGCATAAGAGACAAATTTCAAAAACATTTTCCAAATTTTACCGCCCACAAACTTTTGAATGGTAGTGTATATGAATACCATAACATAGAAATGGCTTACTTCTTCTTTCTCTTTTTCTTCTTGTTCGCTGCAGGCAGAGGAACTGGTGTGTTACAGGGCTCTGCATGGGAGTCACTTCCCCAGCCTTCTCCCTCCACCCCTGGATCAGGCTCACACCTGCATGTTTCACTCACTGAGTGCTCCGCCGGTGTCCCCATTCTGAGAACAAACATAAAAGTTTGATGAGGACCGAGGGAGGGCTGAGAAACTTCTAGATTTAGTGAAACACCTATTCAAGAACTTATGAGCTGAAAGATCTAATATTGCTGCGTGATGTCACATCCCTAATTTGAAACTCAATCAGCCCTATCTGTAGTGTGCGCATGTAAAGGGCAAAATGCTAAGGCTTAGCATCATGTTTCTGTCCCTGTTTCTCTCCACAGATGAGTACCCCACCTGTCAACATGATTGAGGTTTTGTCACTTAATACTTCAACTAACCCATATTTTTAGTATTTAACCATTTACATTTACATTTAGCAGACGCTTTTATCCAAAGCGACTTACAAATGAGGACAATGGAAGCAATCAAAATCAACAAAAGAGCAATGATATACAAGTGCTATAACAAGTCTCAGTTAGCTTAACGCCGTACACGTAGCAAGGGTTTTTTTAAATAATATAATAAATAAAAAGAAAACAGACAGAATAGAAAAAGAATAGAGCAAGCTAGTGTTAGAGGTCTTTTTTACTTTTGTTAATTGTATAATAAATTAAAAGAAAACCATTTCAATGGGTCAAATAATTTGATATCATTTATAAGGAACACCACTGACATGCATCTTGCACAAACAACATCACTGAGGTCCAAATCAAGTTGTAGGTGCTTTTGCAAGTGCCAATTAGAAGAGAGACTCCTGAGAAACCTTCATGATGTAACTGTGTTCTGATCTAGTGAACTAGATCATCCTGACCATGACCTCTTGGCCTTGAGCTCAAATGAAATGGCTTGGAGACCTTATTAGGTAGGTAACATTTGCTCAGCAAGAAGGAAAAATAAATAATAAACATTTTAAAGGAGAACCATTTCACTGTGAACCATTAAAGATTACAAGAAAAATCCATAATGACTTTTTGACAGCCCTGATCAAATGTAACATTTAAAATCATCAACACATTTTATAACTGATTCAACACTTACAGTAACCAGTGATCTCTTCAGAAGGAGGGCAGCAGTGCTGGCAGTCAGATCACAACCCTCTAAGACAGAAAATTCTCCTGTCCACACCACTTAGCTTTATCTGTCCAGTGGAAGGCTATCATCCTCCCCACAGCGAGCTGTCGTCTGGGTTCCGGCACGTAATACCTGACAAAAAGGAACAAATTCGCCTCTTCTGTGATGGGTGGCCCAACTTGGATATACTTACATACTGAAACCTCAAGATCAAGTGACCTATTAGAAACACAGGAGACCTAAACCTGATACATGAACATGAAAATGAAGGCCAGGAGGCGAGCAAGAATCAGAGAAGAAAGACAATCCCTACTTGTCAAACGTGATGAGAAAAGTGGTTGGTTGGTGGAACAAACAAGCATATATATAAAGAAGTTGTTGGTAACACTACACTGGGATCTGCAACAATGCAATACGAAGAATTATAACAAGGACGTCCATTCAAACTCTTTAATTATAAGAGTTTCTTAAATATATCAAAATCCTCAAAACAAAGTAGAAAAAATAAAAATGTGAATTATCAGATGAATAACAGAGAGCAGAAAACACTTTTTTTTCCCCAGTCCACCCTGAAATATACTGTGACATTGACGTAACACTCACATTGTAATTATAGTGTAACTAAGGCACTTTAAAACAAATCATAGATATTTTTGGAACATGTTTTATTCTTTTAATAATTATCTAACTACTCATGTTTTTTTTTAGCTACCTTTTTGCCGTGTTGAAATCCAGGCTAAACCAAAATAATGGCGCACTTGATTCCCTTGCGTTGCAAGTCAGTGCACGACTTTCCCTGTACAATTGCCATGGCAACAGAACGCGTTTCAAAAGCAGGTTAGCCCGCTAGCTGGCTAACATTCTTAAATAAATCCAGCGAATAAGCTCAATGTGTCTAGTAGAATTAATGTACACACCTGTTGCGGTCCTTGTCAAAAAAGCAGTGGTTTCAGCGGGGGGCAGGATCACGGATTTTCACGGCCGATTAGGAGGAAATGTCAGCGGATTTTCTCATGCTTACAATGTTGCCAAGTGCTCTGAAAACGAAATGAGAGTACGAGGTCAGGGGAACACAGAGCCGTACAAATTCTCACTTCACGTTTGCAAATGCTTGATCTCTTATTGGTTCTCACTCTGGTAATGCCAAAATGATTTTTTGGATCATCAATCCTGTGCTAGTCTTGTTGATACTGAATGAACCGTTACCATAAAAACGTAAGAGGTTTGAATAGGAGCTCGTAGATTATACGTGGCAAATTGGCTTGCGGGACGTTAACTCAATCTACCGAGGTAATTCTGCACTTTTACAATCACAACAAGGGACACAAACAAGTTTGCATGTATTGTAAAGGATCCATTCAATGTTGATAAAGAAAGTCGTGCTTCAAGTAATTTACGATTTGAATAAGTACGAAGACATCAACAAAGACGTGTATTTTTGGTCTTTTTATTCAACTTACATTTTTGTTTCAATCTTTCAAGTAAAACAATGTGGAATTACAAGGGAACATAAGGAATGTAACAAATTAGAATAGACAAATCAAAATCAAAGTAAGACCATCACCATATTTTACTAAATACCCCATCTTTCTGTCCAAAAATGGCAAAGAAAGCTATCTTACAACTTACTTGACTGCCAATGTTCTGCAAAAAAATAAGATATTTATCTTAATTTCTTTCAGGTGTTTCCTACCCACCCAGCATCGGTCCATTCATAAAAAGGACAAATACTCCAGAAATAAAAATAGCTGACAGTAGCAAATTTCACTGGAGATTTCAGTTTTGGTTGCACATAATGGTGTTGTTACAATGAAGGGTGGAAGAGCTTATTACACTCAAAGCACTATAGATGACCAAACTTCTATACTTTAACATGGATCCTTGTATGGATCAACAGGCACTCTCATTTTATCAAAGTCATTTAGATTTTGTTTGTGAATACAATTAATGTGTAAAGATGATCATAATGACTAACACTTTGGGAAAGAGAAGAAAAATAGCAAGATGTTGTCTCCCATTTCTGTACTGCTATAAAGCAAATGACAAGCAAATTTCAAGATTTATCACAAGCTCAAGAGATACACTTACTTTAGAGCTTACAAAATGCAGTGAGGTACCAGTAAAGATGTACTGACAAGTCGATGTTCCGAAGAAGAAGAAAAAAAAATCCTAAACCACAATGCAATCCTCCAATGTCTGGGACATTTCAGATGTGCAAATGGGGAAAGCAGGCAGCAGCAGAATTGAAAAGTAATGGACTGAAACATTACACAAGACAGGTGATCTAAGCAAATAGTAACTCCAGCATAGTGCAGAGAAAAAAACAAAACAAAACAAAAGAAAAAGAAAAAAAAAAATCACTTTTTTTTTTTTAGACCTGCCCTCTTCTTCATACCTTGGAAGATATAGAAGATATTTTCGTAATTTATCAACTGACTTGAAACAAACAATAGTCAAAACAGCTGACAAACATTATCCAGAATGCAACAGTCTAAAAACTTTACAATTGTACAATCCCCACTAAATCATTTCAATGTAGCATTAATGAATTTCTTCCTCATCAATACCATTTGCAGCACTAGTAAACTCTGTAAAAAGTGTACAATCTATGCGACCAATCTTTTAACACATACTTTACATAGTATTTCCAGTCTTTCAGTCTTTATGATTACAGTACATAGTGTGAACAAATAATAAATCTTGCCTCTTGCCCAGCTACTTTGAAGTTCCAAAGTCTTTGTGGAAGGGTAAAATATTTTCCAGGTTTTAACTCAAATTATTAGGACATTTTTAAATAGGTGACCAAATCTTCATCATTGTCCTGCATCTATAGACCCTTTCCACATTATAAATGGCTTGACTTAAGATAGCTGAGAGGGCAAAGGCGAGGTCAGATCTAATCACAATGTGCAACAGATCTCTCTCCTCTCGTCTTCTCTCATTCAGCTAAACCATGGCCTTTAAATGAAACGGATCCACTTTCCTCCCCCCCAAAAAAATCTGCATTCGCTTCTCGCTGAAGTTGTTGTCTCACTCCTTGTTGAAACCTAAAGATAACTTTTCTGCTCCCTATCACGTCTTGGAGTGCCGGTTTTGGGTGGACGAAGAACGTGTGTTGCTAGCTGGAGTACGTGCCTGAGCGGCTGCCAATGCAGCTACGCTCCTAAGAACCCTGTCTGGAGTCCCGTCGCTGGATCCAGCACTCAGTTCAGGTTTGTCCTGCTTTTGGGACCTCTTCTCTTTCCTGCTCTCCCTGCCTCCGTCTCCATCACGCTTACGCTGAATACTTTTGCCTCTCTCTGTATCACTACCAGAGGATGCTGCCCTGGAACAGGAGCGGGTGGGCTCTGTACTCTGCGAGCTCAAACTGTGGGTGCGTTGGCTGCTATTGCTGCTACTCCGACTTCTACTGCTGCCTGCTCCTCTTTCGCTGCTTATACTACTGCAGGCACTATGACCTCCTGAAGACCTGGTCTCTTTGTTTTCATCTTCGCCTTCTTCCTTCTGATCAGATGCCTTCTTCTTTTCTTCTTTTTTAACCCTTTCTGTTTCCAAGGGGGGAACAAGGCTGCCCGGTCGCTGCCGAGTTGATCGAGCAGAAGAAGAGGATTGTGGTGATTCAGTTGACTGATTGGGGGTTTGCCTGCCACTCCCTGTTTTACTGTTAGACATCTTGGGAGAGTCCTGTCCTGTTTTCCCCTTGGGTTTACTGTTTTTTTCAGAGGACAGCAGTTTGCTTTGTTGTGCTGCTGTCTTACTTCTGGGACTGGGTGTGTCTGGTCCTCTTCCCCTCATTGCCAAGAGCTTGGCGGCAGCATTAAGGGCTGAGCAGCGTTTGCCCAGTACCTCAGGTTCAGGGGAGGCTAAAGTATTGGGTTGTGGGCCTGCAGATTTCCGGGTTACTTTTGAACACGTTTCTCCACTGGACTCCCCTTCTGTGGTATTGGTGGTTTTACCCTTCTTGTCTGACCTTGCCCTTTGCCTCTTACTGCTCTCATCATTTTTAGCAATCATGCCATCTTTCTTCAACTTCTTTTGAGTCGATCTTGTCAAACATCTTGTTATGCTATTCGAGTCCTCAGAGTCTGAAGATGAGGAAGAGTTGGACTGGTGTTTGTCAGACTCTTCTTCAGTTTTCTCTTTTTCAGACTTTATATCTTCCCGTTTCCTTTTTGCAGGCCTCTTACTCTCTCCAGCCTTTTTGGACTGGGATGATCTTGTACCACAGGAGGATACAGAAGATGGGGAAGAGGAACGGACTGACTCCTGGCTGCTTTGCCTACTGATGATTCGTTTTTTGGCAGAAGTTCTGGTCTCTCTCTCCTCTCTTGACTCCCCTTCTGATGGCTTATCAGGTCCATCACTCTTAGGGTCATCATGGTACTCGATATCTGAATTTGAGGAGGCAACTCCTGAGGCACCAGGTGTCTGTTCCTTTGGCAAACTATCCAATTTCCTTCTTTTTAGCTGAGATAAGATGCTTTCTTTTTCTCTTACATTTTCCTCAGCAAGACTGTCTATTTCCATTTTCTCTGTATGCTCAGTCACAACCTCTTCCTCAGTTACAACCTCCTCCTTGGGTGAATGTTGGCCTTCATGATTATCAGCCATGGTCTCCACTGGCATGTTTTTGGACTGAGAAGAATCTGCATCTGTATTGGATGTGGAAAAAGAATCCGTTGTCATCTGATCAGTGGTGGACGGAGATTGTGAAGACACTGAAGACATTTTGTGAGATACAAGTGCTGAATCTGTTGCTGCTTCGATGTCTGTAGTTTGAGTTTGTGAGGGATGAACAGAAGTTTGATCAGATGTAGGTGTGGATTGTTGGACTGTTGACACAGTCAGTGTCATAGAAGGTTCTGGTACCTCTGATTTAGATGAAGATGATTCTTGCTTAATCTCAGAAGTCAAAGCAGGTGAAGGAGAAGGCTGGGTGGATGACTGATGAGTGGGAGTAAGAGATGCAGCTATATTGCACATGTGTTCTACAGAAGTTTGTGGAGAGTCTTCAGTTGTACTGGGTCTTTGTATGAGTTGTGAAGTGACTTGAGTTAATGTATTGGAGTACTGCAAATGATCTTTTTCTGTGAGTGAATCTTCCTTGGTTTCTACAGCAGTCACCGAGACATTTGAAGGTTCTGAAGATGGTGTGATTTCACTGGTCTCAAAAAACACAGGTGTATAGGCAAGTTCCTCTTCATGGATGGAGACATTACAAATGGGAGGCTCTCTGGTAGGACTTGGAGGATGTAGTGTAGGGGAAGAAGCTGTACAAGTCTGAGAGATTGCTGCTGCAGAAGTGTTGTGTGATAAAGTTTCAAGTGTATTGGTGTCAGAGTCAATGCATGCAATTAGGGGGTTCAGACTGGTGTGAGTATCACCATGTGAGTCACCAAGTTCTGATGTAGACAATGACATATTTTGAGAGTCTGTATGCATAGAGGACAGTAAAACAGATGTAGTTTTTTGATTTGTTTCAGAATCTGGTTTAGGAGATGACGATACTTCAGCAGCATTTGAGGGTGAAGTGGGGTTGAGTGGAGAGCTTATTGGTGAAGTATTACTGACAGCAGGCAAAGTCACGGGCATAACATTGGACCTTGACAAATTAGGCTCATGGGAGGAAGGAGCACATGTAGAAGGAGAAGATGGGGATGAGCTGGTAGTTGTGGTGGAATCTTTACGGGGACGACCTCTTTTCCGTTTTGGTGAGTGAGAGGGACTCCGCTCAGGACTTGTTTTCTGGGTTACTGGTGTCTTGTCTTCTGGCAGCTCTAGTGCCCGTGGAGGTGTTTTAGGCGGTCTGCCCCTCTTGCGCTTCATTGAGTCATTTGGAGCAGTACTGTCCTTGTCTGAATTCGATTCTGGTTTCTTTGGTGATAAAGCAGATCTCCGATCCACCCCTCTACCTCTTCCTACAAATTTCTCTCCTAACTGTGCAGCCATTCGAGACTCTGTCTCAAGCCTTCGGCGTACTGGTAAGTTTCGTAGGACAGGCATATCTGGTGAATGGTGTGTTGGGGAACAGGGGTGGTGCCCTCTCCCTGGGCTACTATGTAATGGAGAGGAGGCCTGATCCTGCTCTTGTGTTGGTGGTGGTGGGGAAGAAGCTAAGGATGTGGGCACTGCTTTGGGAGGAGAGTCTTTAAGAGTTTGACTTCCTCCATCAGACAGTTGAGAGCCTGGGTCTGGAACTGGCTCAGCGTGTTCAGTTTCCTCTGATGAACCCTCAGTGTGTGCTCCTCCACTTCCACTCAAGCCCCTCCGTCTCCGTTTGGGCTCTTTCTCCTCCACCACTGTGACCAGACGACCTGGAAGCTTTCGAAGGACCTTGGCTGATGGAGAATCTTCTGGAAGCCCTTTGAGGATTTCCCTTTCAGCTGACTGCCGCTTTCGTGGTGAGCGAGAGTTAGGTGATGCCAGAGTAGGAGAAAGAGGGAGCTGACCATCCTGTTCAGAGTGATGTTCAGGAGAACAGATGGAGTCTGATGACACAGAGGTTCTCCTATCTCTCCTGCTACACTGCATAGTTTCAGACAGTCCCTCTCCCCCCTGCTCTTCATTGTCCTCTCTGCATGCAGTAGAGGAGGAGGACTGATGGCCACTAGAGTTTTTGTCCATTGCGGGAGATGCAGCAGCTGAAGGCACAGAGCTTGATGGGGAGATGGGCTGGTGGTGAGGGGATGGCACATATCTAATTTTTGGGTCTGAACCCCGCATAACAGGGGACAAAGTTGTTGAATTTGAGAGCTGTGGGTTGGTTTGAATTGTCTGGTTTTCTGATGATGTGAGGAACACAGATTCTTTGGTTGTCCCTCGCCCTTTTGGACCACTGTGAAGCTTCTCAGGCACTTCTCTGTGTTGGGGCGACTTTTGCGTTGACCCAGGGGTTTGGCTCATACTGCGCTCAGAGTTCATCCATACCCCCCGCCTGCCTCTCTCTGGGGATCGCTGGGTTAGGGATATATCGTCAGCAGGTGTCCCTCTGAGCCTGCCACTGACCCTCGTAGAAGGAGCACCTTTCTCTTTGTGTTTGCGAGGGCGACGGGTTGGAGTAGGTTCCTCAGTATTGGGAGGTATGGAATCCTCTTTGTCACTGTCGGATGACTGATGCAGTTTCAAACCTTCTTCCTTTGCCTGATCCAACCCTTTCCTTGCAGCCTCAACCTGCTCCTGTAACGTCATAAGAGATGTTGAGGGGATAACTGCTAAAGGTTTATTCTACCAGAAAGTAATCAAAGCTTGGTTACTGGTTTAATGGTTACCTCTGCCTGCTTCAGCTCCTCTTTGCAAATATCTTCAAGGGAAGCCTCAAGGAAATTCATAGCATATCGCTCTATGGGAGTGAGCTGTTAAGAACAGGGACAATTGAAATGTAGTGAAAAATGGTACATTATGATTTAAAAAAAGGTTTAAGTGATGCATCGACTGAAAAAAAAAACATTCTAAACATTCTATAAAGACAAGCATAAATACAATGACTACCTGTTCAACAAGGGCAGCAATTTCCTGCTCAGCCTTGGAGAGCTCTTCCTCTTCCTGGTCTCTGCTGTCACCATCATCCAGAGGGATATTTTCATTAAACTCTGCAAGCTCAGCCACCTGCTCAGCCTTGGCTTGAGATGCAGCCACTATATCCTCTTCATCCTCAGCACGACACAGGGCCTAGTTTTAAGAACACATTGAAATACATTTTTCAGCGGTTTGTAACAAATTCCTTTCAAAACAAATGGACACATGCAATACTCCAAATGGATATATTCAAAATTACCTGTTCCAAAATAGTGGTTTGTTGTTTATTTATGGACTCATCATCATCTGACTGAGGCGCACTCAATTCAGCCTCTTTCTTCTCTCCCTCCGACACATCAAACAACTCCCTTATAGTTTGCTGTTGGAACGAAACAATTGGGGAATCAATCCTTCCATAATTTAATTCAGGCTAAGATTTTACAATGAAATTTTTTTCAAAATAAGACATACCTGCTTGAAAAAGGCAGTTGTAAAGTTTCCACCTTCAATTGCCATATCTCCCAACATCCTCTTTTGATTGGCTTTTTTCAAAATATTTTCTTCAACTGTGCGTTCACTGATTAGCCTAAACAAATATTTTAAATGTCAATGTGCTCCCATTATCTGTACAATATCAAGCATTTATTTAAAAAAGTAACAATAATTGGTCCTAAATGTAAAAAAAAAATTTTTTTCATTTTTTCTTTACCTATAGATGTGAACATCTCTCGTCTGTCCAATTCTGTGGCACCGGTCCTGAGCTTGGGCATCCATGGTTGGGTTCCAATCACTGTCATAGAACACCACTGTATCAGCCCCAGTCAGGTTAACACCAACACCTCCACTGCGGGTGGACAGGATGAAGCAGAATATGCGACGGTCTGCATTGAATCGCTCCATCAGAGCCTGAAAAGTAGACAAACTTTTGTTTGTTACAACCAATAATGTCACATCTACAAAAACATAATTTTACTGGATTTCACTAGAGTACTGGGACTAGTATTTCACCTGTCTTTGTTCTACACGTGTACTTCCATCCAACCGCAGGTAGATGTGCCCATGGTAGTTGAGGAACTGCTCAAGTATATCCAGCATACGTGTCATCTGAGTGAAAATGAGGACTCTGTGCGTTTCTGCCTTCAACTTTCTAAGCAGGAGGTGGAGTGTCTGCAGCTTACCTGCACACAGATAAACAGCCATAAAATGGTCTCCTCTATTTATTATTTAGTGTTTTTGGTACTACATAATTGTTTATGATATATTAACATGGTAAATCTAATAAGAATGAAATCCCTAGATGCACACTGCACTGGGATTACAGTACTTACCACAATCATACTGAATAAGCCTCAAGTCAGGGAAATGTGTCCTCATGTTACACTGGATGCGATGGAGCGTGTGTGTATGCGGGCAGAGATGGGAAGACAGAACAGAGGAGAAATGGCTTTGCTGGTGTCTGAGGGAGGGAGGTGGATGGCAGGTGTGCATGGTGATAGGCTTTGCTTCCACTGGAGGAATGACAAAAGTGAACCTGTGGAACGAGAGCATGCATTTAAGTGACACACTATTATTTTCAGCTGCGATTTTCATATTCAATTCTAAATTAAAGTTTAAGCTTTACCTGTCTATGACATCAGAGAGAAGTTGAAGCCTCTCCTCTGAGTTGTGGATGGCTTCCTTCAGGGCTTGGCTCTTTTCCAGGAAGCTACTGGTATGGTGTGATTGTGCAGTGAGGCAGGAGCTATAACCTGAGTAACTCCAGTTGTTCATAACAGGACGTGGCGGAGATGGACAAGGGCCTGGGAGGAAGGTTAGAAAGTCCAGTACCTCACGGCCATACACAGGCTTAGCACTGCAGTGTAGCTCATTGATGCGCATGATTTGAGAGATTCGGCTGTCTCGCTGATCCTTTCGGCTGTCTGCAAGCCATGACTGTCAAAACCAAATATGTGAATGGTAGACACAGACAAACAACTAATAAGTCATTAGGAATTTATATACTAAAAATAAGAGTTAAAATACTGTGCAAATACGTAATTTCCTCTGATCTAAATGCACTATGATGTAGTTACTGATTCTTATGTTAATAGGCATGTATGTTTGCAAAGTGTTACACCCTCTGATGCAGGTTGTCAGAAGAATAAACTGAGATTTAAAGTGGTAACAGTGTTATGCATACTTCTGAGTTTAGGAATTAATAAAAAAATTTAAGATTAACATTCCATTTATTACCATGTAGAAGGGGGAACGTGGTGGAGGTGGCGGCTGAACACGGGGACGCTGAGATGTTGACCCACTGCTCTGAGATGAGGATGCAGGCTTAGGAGTGCTCACGCGCAAAGTAATCACACCATTACCACTGTCCTCACGCACTGATGATGAATTTGCCTTTGTTACTGAAAAGTACAAAGTACTGAATGCATGATTATTCTACTTGATATTCTTTTTGTTTAATATTTTGCTTGAACTTCTGTCATGTAAACTCTCAAAACCACATCTGGGCTCAACTTACCTGGTGGTTCTGGGGCTGGTGGTGGTGGCCCCTGTACTACTCTCAATACAGGGCGAGTAGGTGGAGTCTGGGAGGAAGCAACAGTTCGGGGTGGAGCAGCATAAACTGGAGGCCGTTGTGGAGGCTGTGAAGCAGTGGGTGCTCTAAGAACAGGGCTTGGAGTGCCATGTGGGTGAAGGGTGACCGATTGAGCAGGAGCAGGACGAGGAGAAGGAGGCACAGCCAGAGTCGGGATTGACCCTCCTTCTTTACTTGGTGCTTGGCGTACAACAATCTTTACAATTCCAGGCCCACTTACCATGGATGTTGGGACTGGAATTATAAACAAAGAGTGTTTAGAAACTACACAAGTATTTCACCTGGAAAGAAAGTTCAGTTAGACTGGGCACCAGACTATGGATTACAGTAGCAGAGCTATCAATAAAAGGTCCAGCACTATTAAATACACTACCGTTTAAATGTTTGGGGTTAGTAAGGTTTTTATTATTTACAATGTTTTTGAAAGAAGTCTCTTATGCTCAAAAAAGCTACATTTATTTAAAGGGGTCATATGACGTTGCTAAAAATAACATTTTGTGTATTTGGTGTAATTCAATGTGTTTACGTGGTTTAAGGTTAAAAAAACACATTATTTTCCACATATCCGTACTTTATTGTTGCTCCTCTCTGCTCCACCTTTCTGAAATGTGTTGATTTTTACAAAGCTCATCGTTCTAAAAAGCGCAGTGTGCTCTGATTGGCCAGCTATCCAGTGCGTTGTGATTGGCCGAATACCTCAAGCGTGTGACGAAATGTTACACCCCTTACCATATTTGGAATATCAGCTTCCATGGCGGTGGCAGCAACAATAGTACAGAGAGAATTAAATTTACACCACCTTTCTTTTTGTATACATTTGGGCGGTGTTATGCAAATCTTACCACACTGTGACGTAGATTTGTGGGGGCGTGTTCTAATAAGGTGCTTTAGGAAGGTGTGGATGAGTCTTAACTTTTAGAAAGAATATCTCTTTGGGTTTGAGACATTAATCTTTGCGACTTTACGGATCTTATATATGCACAAACAGCTTGTAACATTTCTTCATTTAATGGCCAAGCAGCCATTACTTCAGTATTCTAATAAGATCCTTAAGAAATCATTTTATGCATACTTGCTGAATAATTTTTTTTATTTCTTTCAAAAGAAAAACAAACTATTCCCAAACCTTGTAAACGGTAGAACAATTATTTAGTCTCTTAACTCTGGAGAAACATGGACAATTACAAATTCACAAACTTAACCTGAATACATTACACTTAAAGGAACAGAATAAAAAAGAAAACTAGAAAAGGAAAAAAATCTGAAATGAGAACACTGCTAAATCCACTCACTTCATGAAATAATGAACAAGAAAATAAAATGAAAAACAAACCCAACCATATCAAACCTCATGTGCCTCCAACATTTGACTTGAAATGTGCAGTGGTGTTTGCATATATCTTAATACCTTCATTCAACAGGACCTATTGAGTTAGTAGCCAACAAACCATCCGAATAAGCGGTCACATGCAGTTAGAAAAAAAAGAACCCATGCCAGAATACCCATGCACATGCTCTGCTGAGTAACAGGTAGTTTGGTACCCAGGATACAGGCTGTACCCGAACAAGGATGAACTCAAGGACAGCACCAGTACCTCGAGTAGCGGTGAAAGGTACTGCTAGTCCAGAGCAGGTTGGGATTGTGCTGGTTGGGTGGGGATTTGCTGAGCTGCTACCTGACTGACTAACTGTGTGAAGAACTGCCACATGAGCTGGCTGACTAAAAAGGTGGTGTTGCCCACTACTGGAAACCAGATGCATTATATTTCCTAAAGGGCACAACCACAGAAGAAAGTGTTAGGCCATAGACCACACCAAACACTCAAAGAAAGACTGAAGGCGTGCAGGAAAAGGCGGAACCTGTCCATAGCAGGTAGTGGATTATTTACACAAGCAGATTATTCATCTATTTATGTGGAAGGCAGTGGATACCTTGGATGGGTCGTGGCTGAGGAACAGGAACTTGGTGCAAGGGAGTCCCAGAGAGTGTGAGCTTGTTGCCCTGTAGCTGGAAGGTGACTGGTTTACTGCCCTGAGAGGACGACACTGGTCGGCCAGCCAGGGAGGCCAGCTGAGCGATACTCACAACTTCACCGGCTGTGACAAATTAAAGAAAATTATTTAACTTAACTGTTTATCGCTATGAAACAATGAAGTGTGATGCAATGAACTTACATGGCAAACGAGCCTGCATATCTGGGCTGAGCAGGACCCTCTGAGTCATAATGTTGCTTGGTGGTTGAGGGGGAGCGGACAAAGTTGTGACGCTGGATGGTCCTGAGGGGCGTACAGTCACTGGCTGGGGGGCTGGAGGCCTGACTGCAGGTGCAGAAGGGACACTGCTAGGAGCCACTGGAGCAGCAACAGGAGTAACAGGACAAACTGAAATGAGAGTAAAAATGTTTTCTCTTTATGTCATCATTACATGAGTGACACCTGCTGATGAGGATGTTAGACTTGGCCCCCTGAACTGACCTTGAGGTGCCGGCTGTGAGGGAGGGGTGACCTCTGTAATTAAAGGCTTTGGAGCCTGAACAGCTGTGGTGGTAGGGCACATAGGGCGAGGACTGTTTGCTGATGAACGCCCATCAGATTTAGGAAGAGGCTGAAGCATCCTGCAGAGAAACAAGAGCATTCCAAAACTTTATTTTAAGACAAATTTTGGTCATATCTTGAATCAGTTCAATATATCATACATCACAACTGTGTGTTTGAATATTTTGAACAACATACCTGTTGACTTTCATGCGAACAGGCTTCGGTCTGGGAGGAGGATCAGGGGACTCCATGATCTCCTGAATAAGCTGATGTGTCACTTTCCTCTGAGGCAGGAAAACATCTGCCTGGTATCTAGTCACACGCTGCTCCAGGCCAACCAGGTCCAACATGGACATGTCACAGCGCTTTGGGGGGGATAAGAAATTTTGTATTAACCTTCACTGAGGGTTCAGAAAAGAAAAACAGATTTGAACAAACAAAATAGGGCTGCACGATAAATTGCATGCGATTTTTAATGTATGTACATATATGATAGTGGCTCTGCGCAGCTTGTCAGTGAACAATGGCTCTGTGTAGTAAATGCTGCTCCATGTGAAAGCACGCACGTGATGGAGATTTACCACCGATTACAGAACTGGCTTTACTGACAAGATGCACATTAAATATCGCATGCGATTTATCGTGCAGCCCTAAAACAAAACATTAGAAACTTCCTGATAACAGAAATGTGTAAAAATGTGTCAACCAATAGATATTTGACCATTTATATCACTTTATCATATATGTCCCTGTAACATTAATGCATTCAGTGGACAGGGCCACTTACTTTACACATGGGAACAAGGGGGGGGGAATCAAATAAAGAGCAGGAAGTGTCCCAAAAAAGATGAAAAAGTTTATTTATATAGTGCTTTTCACAAAACTTACATTTCGGAAATACTGCCCACCCTTATACAATACTTATCCCCAGACAGAATAAAATAGTGTCCTACTCCTGGATCACCACAGTACTGAGTATTTAAAGTATTTCAAACTCAAATATCTTTACCAGCTTATCAAAGGGTGTGTCTGAAATGGCATTTAGATTTTATAAAATTGTGCACTCATGATTTTTCTAGAATAACTTTTGCTGATAAATTATCCACTAACCTAGTTTATAATAGTATTTTTGTCATAGATTATGATTACATATTTTTTCATTTGTTATTTTTCATTAAAATGAAGTTGTCTATATTTAGTAAATTGTGTTTAACACACAAAAGAATGACGATCAGAAGTATAGAAATTCTACATTGATTAAAAAAAAAAAACTGCGCTGGTATCGGATCGAAATCGGCCGATACTCAGAATTTTCTGGATTGGATCTGAAAAAATGGTATCGTTGCATCCCTACACTAAATAAAAGTATGGGGGCAATTTTGGACAGCCACTGTCTTCATGATTACTATAAACTTTAATGCAAGCATGTTGGGGCAGGTTGTATCTAAACACAGCAGGACAATTGCCCTCCAGGAACAGGATTGAACACTCCAATACAGATAAACAAGCACACAGGACAGTAAAGTTTTAGGAATTGCTGGTAGTCTTCACCATTTACCTCAAAAGGTGAGGTCTCAAGAGCCCGCTGAACCAGTGAAGCAGTAGAATATATGATGGCCTTTGTGATGAAGGGGGATTGTATGGGCCTTGGATCAAACAGGTTGGGGTGATTACACACTTTCCGCAGCTGCATCAGGATGTTGATCACAGACATGAAATGGCCGCTGGCTAAAGTCTCTCGAGTCCTGGGAGAACACGGTATGGGGCACAAAAAACACGGGAAAAATTATCCAATCAATTATCATCCAAGGCCCGAGTTTGGACGTTATTATAAACAAAGGAAAAATGCCTTTTCGGATTCCTTAACCCCACCCTTGTCTGTTTGCCCTGGTTACTCACGAGGCCTGGGCCATGAAGTCATCATAGAGAAAACGCTGTCTTTTGGAGAGTCGACAGCGCACAACATGCTCATATTTTTTTGGCATTTGTTTCTCCACATCGGCTTTGATTCTTCGCAGCAAAAAGGGTCTTAGCACCTAGAGAGAGAGAGAGATGTAGGAAACTTATGTGAAGCCAAAAGCCTAAATGCTTCCTTTTAATATAACAAATGAACTCAGGCAAAAATCATAAGAGAAACATGGTAACTATGTTTGTGCTATTTTCATAAACGCAATAAATTACAAAAAAATTAGTGCTGAGCAATGATTAATCGCATCCAAAATAAAGGTTTTTATTTATATATTATATGTGTGTGTACTGTGTATATTTATTATGTATATATAAAGACACACATACAGTATATATTTTGAAAATATTTACATGTATATATTTATATTCATATAATTTATATTATAAATAAATATATTTAATATATAAACAACACAAAAACTTTTATTTTGGATGCGATTAATCATTGCCCAGCACTAATAAAAATGATTCATAAACTGGTACTACCTTGTGAAGCCGCTTGACCAAGCCCTCATTGTACTCCTGGCTCCCTTCAATCATTCCAGTGAGCGGGTTTGAGAACCACTCCTTGAACTCACGATGGGACTGGAAAACGTGCGGCATGAGGAAGTGCATAAGAGACCACAGCTCCATTAGACTGTTCTGGAGAGGGGTACCTGTGAGCAACAATCGCCTCTGGCTGCATGGAAGACAGAATTGAGAGAAAGAAACAGAATACTCAAAAAAACAACAACTCATTACATCCTAATTAAATGGGTTTTTCCACATAAAAACATAATGAAACAAAAGTCAGAATGAGACCTATAAATGATCAAGACCTTCAAAGAAATTAATGTATACAAGTACCTGTTGAAATTGAGCAGGCTTTGCCAGCGCTGGGACTTAAAGTTCTTGATGTTCTGGGCTTCGTCCAAAATGAGGTACCTCCAAGACTTGCGCCTAAAAGCCTGATGATCTTGCAGTACTAGCTTATACGAGGTGATGCAGACATGGAAAGCATTGGGTTTGGTCCAGCCCTAACAAAAATAAAAAGGAAAGAAAAACAATTATAAAATCACAGATTGAAAGGCAAAAAGAAAACACAATTGTTTTAAAGATTTTTGTGGAAGTGTTTTTAAAATATCTTTATTTTAATTAAAAAAATATTATTGTATTTATTACTTGTCTCTTGAGTTTGCGCTCCTTCTGGCTACCATAGTAGGTGAGGATTTTGAATCCAGGGCACCAACGTTTCAACTCCATCTCCCAGTTGAGCATTACACTGGTGGGCACAATGATCAGATGTGGACCCCAGTTACCTGTAAAAGCAAAAAGCAAAGAAATGTACTGCACTATATGAATTATATTTTCAACACGCATCATAGGGAAAGGAGTACTTATGTGGACTTATTACCCTTTACACATGCTAGATGAGCTAACAAAGCAATGGTCTGGATGGTTTTGCCAAGCCCCATTTCATCTGCAAGTATGCCATTGAGTTTCTTCTCATTCATGGTGACCAACCAGTCCAGTCCAATGTGCTGGTACTCACGCAAGGTACCATGAAGCAGGAATGGAATTGGTGTTTTGACCTTGTGTTAAAAAGAAACCACACAAATGCAGTTAATGATAAACAGAGTTCTTCAGCCAGTGTTTCTGAGGGTTTTTGTGTTGCTACCTTTGTTGTTGCCAGTGTATATCCCTTAGGTTGAAGGCTCTCGGCAGTAGCAGCAATGTGGCTGATTTCTTTCTTAGGTCGGGGAGATGTTGGTACAGTAGGACTATGGTCTCCTTCTCTCAGCAGAACCTCCATTCCCTCTCCTCCATCATCCTCATTATCACTCTCCTGCACATCCTCATCTTCTTTGTCACTGTCTACAACCGCTTGGGAATCTGAATATTGAGTAGATCACAGATGATGTGTGATATTTGGTCACTTCATACAACAGTTCATATGTTTCAGTGACTCTATCATCATAAACTTCAGCTCACCTGAGGAGGAGCTACTATCATCAGCACTGTCCTCTCCCTCAGTCTCTTCCTCCGCTTCCTCCTCAGTTCCCTCTGATTCTTCTGAGGAGTCCGGTGACACTGAGGCTGAGGGCTCCTCAAAATCAGAGGCATACGCTCCTCTGTACTTCTCTAAGAGCTCTTCCATGCTCATATCCCCTGTGAAACAAATAAACCACAAGTGACAATATAACCTCAGGAAATTACTGTGCAAGTCATAATTAAAATATCTTCATTATACAGTTCAAACGTTTGGGGTAATTAAAAAAAAAGATATTAATACTTTTATACAATTGATAACAGTAAAGGCATTTATAATGTTTTAAAATGTTGTATTTTCAAAAAAATGCTTTTAAAATTTCTATTCATCAATACGTTTTACAGACCCCAATCCTTTATAACAGTAGTGTTTATATAAATATATATATATATATATATATATATATACACACACACACATATATATGAAGAGTTTGGTTCCAAAACGCGATAAACGCCATTTAAAAAAAATTGAGTTTCCGCCAAAATCAGTATTGTATCTGGTCGGTATTGACAAGTCAATTTTTAATTTTATGCAAAATGCGATATCCACCGAGTTATTCTGTCATGTTTTCTCCCTTTCTTTCCAAACCGCGACAAACGCCAGTCTCCCTTCTCTGCAGAATGCGATATATCCGCTCAACCAATCACAGCGCACCATTCCACACACTCTAGACAGTAATGGCGGCGCTTTGAATACACC